AAGAGAATGAACGCCCGCGTGGACTGAAGCCATCAGTCGCACTCGCGCGAACGTTTCAGAGCAATACTCATCTTCACTAGTGAAATTCACTCGGCAGGGCATGACCACGTGGAGAAATACATGAGGGCTCGCGTTGTGCGCCGAATACAAGCGGCATTTGCCACGGCATGAGCCAAAACACTAGCTCGGTGATTCTAACACCCTCGAACGGATAAGCTGCAGCACAACGGTGAAATCGCTCTGCAACACCAGATAAATGTCGACACGACGGAGTGCGCCAACAGCGAGACCTTGTAAGATAGCACGCGTGATGGGTGTCGCGGTTGATGTGCGGCAGGACCCTCACAAAGAGAAGCTAACCGTGCTAGTACGGATGTAAAAATAATAAGTGTATGCGTTACATAGAGACCACACTTACATCGTCAACAGCTGCCCTTCGGACTGGTACGAATGCACGTGATTCACTCGAAATATTAAAAATAAAGGGAACTGAGGCGTCGCTAACCCGCACGTAAGCGTGAAGGAGCGTGAAGACAACGTCTAGTTGCTGCCTTAATACCTGCAGTCGCAGCCGTTTGCCTCTGTTTTCGTTGTGTGGGATCGGCTGTTAATCTTTTTTTTTCGAACCATTTCTAATCACTTGTGAAAGATCGTTTTCTTAAGTGCTGTAAGAACTAATGCATAAAAGTGCAAAATAAAGATAGATATACGCTATACGCACACGTACAAACAAGAGAGGGAATGCCACTCTTCGGACTGTTTTTTCATTGCATTCGAACCAGATTTATAACAGAGAGAGACAAATCTGTACCAAAGGCGAGAGGCCGTGCATTACCTAGAAGAACACGACCACGCCCAGCGGATTGTTTTGTGTCGTGGCAAGCAGACATAATTTTCTTCCCACCAAACAAAAGTGGCGCTAGACATGTATGCCTATGTCGAGCGCCACTGCATTTATATATATATATATATATATTATATATATTATATATATATATATATGGTGGGGTGATATTCAATGGATCCGGTGGAAAATGCAGTATAAAAAGAGGTCGACAACCGTGCGAAAAAACACTAGTTTTACTAACGTTTCGGCAGGTGGGCCTGCCTTTTTCACTCCGACGAAGGCAGGCCCACCTGCCGAAACGTTAATAAAACTTGTGTTTTTTCGCACGTTTGTCGACCTCTTTTTATACTATATATATATATATATATATATATATATATATATATATATATATAATATATATATATATATATATATATAATATATATAATATATTATATATATATATATATAGACGAAAGCTGTGGGGCCACGGCCGAAACGTTTGTAAATACAATTTCCTTTTCAAATGTGCTATCTGCAAGTTTATTCAATATAGAAAATACCCGGACCTGTCGTGCCTTCCCTTCAATTTATATATATATATATATATATATTATATTATATTAATATATATATATATATATATATATATATATATAGCGAGAGAGAGACGTTACGTGTGTGTGTGTGTGGTGTCAGGAAGAAGAAAAAAGCTATATACGTAGCAGCCTAATGTTGGCTCTTATCTATCCAATCAGCGGGTTTATTACTTGCGCAAACATTCTTCGCACCTTGCCTCTTAGCAATACGCGCCTTCAGAGCAGAACTAACACTCTTAACGCTAAAATAGGTACATAGCCAGACTTATCTTCGCAGTCGACGTTCTTGGTCCATTAGCTGTGCACATTATCTAGATAGAAATCTCATATTACGGTTTCTTCTGCCGCGCTGGCCTCACTGCTCAGATGTTCAGCGTGCCAAGATAACGCGACGACGGAGTAGCGAGGCTTGCATGCGACGCCTCTGTGTGACGCTTAATACCGCGAACGCGTAAAGGCTTGGCAGGAGGCCAAGGTCTTGTTTATCTCGGCGGATAATTTAGAGGGCGTGAGAAACAAGATATATGTCTTTCTTTTTTGTTGTTGTTATTTGAGCTGTCACGTCGTCGGAGCTGTCAGGAAGTCCAAGCGGTGAAGGTTGTTTGGGTGCTCGCCGCGGTCATGTACGGCGCCCGTAGCTATGATAATTTCGCGTTTCGGGAGGCCGCTTTCGGCGTGCCTGTTTCGCGTTTGGCATTCACGCTAACCTTGCTGTAAGGCACTGAACTGCGTGAAGTCGTACGCAAAAAACCCGGCTCCAGTGAGTGTAATAAGACGTGGCGCAAGATGGTGCGCCGGTCCCACGCGTACCCGTATGGATGCATCGTTTCTCCAACCATTCATTCTCTCTCGATTGCGGGCTTGTTGACGATCTGCCGATCGTGGTGCAGAAATCTGATATTTCTCCGAGGTGACTTGCTATGTCATGTTTCATTTCTGGGAGAATATGAACGCATGGCCGTCATTGTTGCCTGTAGCAAGTGAAGTGTTGTGCTACTAATCACGTGTATGAAGGTCCCATTCTCAGCATGGAGCAAGGGAGTGGGAGGTAGCATTCTAGCAATACTGAAAAAAAATAAGGAGCGAGAATGAAAGAAAGAAAAGGAAAGCAGTAGCTCAGACACACGAACGCCATGCTTCGCTTGCCATCATTTTCCCAACAGAGGAAGAACTGCAGAAGTTTTTTTGTGTGTGTGTGTGTGTGAAAAACGTTCCTTTTATGCAGCTTGCACGCAAACAATCATACATGTTTCAAGCCAACCCCATCATGACAATAGTCAGACAGGGATGTTTCATAGAGAAAACATAGAAAGCAAAAAAATGTTGTCAATTGACACCACGCTACGCAAGTGTTAGAAAGTCAAGCTCTCGAAAATACTCATCGTTTCTCTCTTTCTTCAGTGGCTCGACCTTTTCTTGCTTGTTTGAATCGAAAGCAATTTGTGATTTATGATTTGATTGTAGGGGGTTCAACGTCCCCAAAACCACGATATGAATTATGAGAGACGGCCGTTGTGTGGGCTCCGGAATTTCGACCACCTGGGGGTTCTTTAACGTGCACCCAATCTGAGCACAGCGGGCCTACAACATGTTCGCCTACATCGGAAATGCAGCTGCCGCAGCCAGGATTTGATCCCGTGACCTGCGGGTCAGCGCCGAGTACCTTAGCCACTAGCCACCACGGCGGTGCGAAACCGATTTGTCCACCTGTCCGTTACCCTGTGTACCCTTATTTCTGCAAGTAACTCAAATGAATACGTAACCAGGCTCTCGTATTGGTACTCTTCCTTCGTTACTGAAGTATACCGTTCTGAATACTGCTAGCGAGTAAACAATACCAGGAGCAATCTTGAAACTTTGCGAAGATTGAATTCCGGGCTAACTGATTCGAGCGTACTGCTGTTGTAAAGGTTCCAGATGGGGCAGCCTATTCGACGATATGACGCACAAGCGATCTTTGTTGGCGAACAGTGCGAAGAGAAGATGGACCAGTTTGACGCATAAGAGTGCGAAACGTAAATGTCCCGCGCTAATGTGAAACGTTCCTCGCATTATGACATGCACGTATAATAGCAGTTGCTTGTTGTACAGTAATCGTCGTAGAGACGCAGCTTATTTATATCAGCCTGTTCATCTTAACGAATGCAATCATACAGGCTACTATGTCAGTATCTTTCGCATTAAAACTCTCTAGATGTGATTCACAGAGCCATTCAAGAGTACGAATAAGCGTCTGCGTTAATGTAGACGAATAGTGCTGTTTAGACTACTTTTGTCAACTTGATATTTATTTTATCTCCTTGTCTCAGTGGTCTGGACAGTTCCAACGCCCTGCAGTGCATCCTGACGCTGAAGAAGTTCGCCCTCAAGGGTCACACGGTCCACATGCAGTATACACCAGCCGAGCTCCAGAATATTCCAGCTCTTCGACAGAGTAAGCGTGGCGCTTTGCGCATCTCTTTGCTTGTTTAGGGTTGCGCTTTGTATTCCTCGCAGAATAGGCATTTTTTGTATGTTTCTCATGTGCCATGGCCTTGGTAAGGCGCCTGGGGCATGATTTCATTTTATATGCACTGTTCAATCTGTTACTGCGGCGAAATTTTTTTATTATATTTTATTTTAAACCAACGGGAACACATGAGAACTTATATTTTCTAAATTTTCCTTCGTCTTATTAAAAGGAGCTTAATAATTTTGCATAATTTTCTGATAATATATCAGCTTATCATATTAAACATTTCCAATTGCTTCTGCTGCCACTACTTCAAGATAGTCATCTGTACAGATCTATCTATCTATCTATCTATCTATCTATCGTATCTATCTATCTATCTATCTATCTATCTATCTATCTATCTCGCTGTTCGTAACGCCGCTGTTACGACAGAGCTGCATGACCATTGCGCTTGAATGTGTTCTGCACTATACGTGGATGGTAAACTAGCAGCCCACTTTTCTAACCCATTGGTATCATTACAAACATACACTTTAAGGGTAGAAAACTGACGTACTTCTTTATTTTGACCCGCAGTTAGACGTCCTGGCGGACGGCTATTGCTTATACCACGGCACCGTTCGGACCTCCTTCCTACCCTGACCGCCAATGGTCTACAGTGCCCGGCATTCTACAACCCTGCCGACTTTGGTGAGAGGAGTCTTCAGAGATAACCTTCTTGATGGGCTCATAATATTCTGGGTGATTACGACTGGGTGCAGATTCCCAAATAAGCATTGCAGAGACCTTGGGCTCAACGTGGAGCTTTGCTGCGCCTTATGTACGGCATCTTGTTTCAACGCTATAGCGCACGATTTATGAGCCGTTATAGAGATTATTGGAAACAGTTATGCAGTAAAATGATCGCAAGTGGTATGCCAGAGGCAGTTAATAGACGGAGGCCTCGAAAGCAACCCAAGTGAAAGTGCCGATCTAGATCTCAGCATCCCCGAATGTCACTATATCAAAATATCTCTCAACAAGTACCTTGGATGAAGGAAAGAAACGCGAATCTTGGGGCTTATTCTTTGTTAGACACAATATTACTGAGAACTAACAGACAATGAAAGCTAACAGGCCATGTAGGTTATTTCTCATTGATATTGTGTCTAGAAAGTATACTGGAGTACTTCAAGAACGTTGTGATATTGGGCACCCTCAGTCGTCAATGTTCTCTCATTACTTTCCTGAATGCAGTCATTGAAGTCGCCTCGGGCGAATACGGTGACGTCAAAGGCGATCTCGTGCGATACGCTGAACGGCACAGCCAAGTTTCCCCCACCAGCAATGGCCTCAAGTCAATCGCCAATGAAGGAGGAGATCTCAACGAACCCCATGCCGTCACAAGCCCCTTTGCTAACGCAGGTATGCTCACGTTTTTATTTTCTTTCCATAAGATACCAATTAGTTGGTAGCGCTGGTGATACACGTTAAATCTTTAAATCTTAACATCTCCGAATTCAAGGGTCATATAGACGAGGGAAACAAGCGACGAAGCTTTTCGGTGTCGCTCCCACCGCTGATTCGCAGAGGTTCGCGACTGGGGACCGAAGTGTTCTCTCTCCCGGTGATTGATGTTCACACTGGTGACTGTGACATGCCCGTTTCACACGCGTGATCAACACATACACCACTCATCTTACTTCAGTTCAGACAATTCAAAACCAAGCGATAAGAATTCTCACGTCAAGCCCATATCTCTCTAACGCTAGTCGCTACTTCATGAAAACAATATATTAACTGTATCTGAGCTAGTTAAATATACCTTGGTATTTACATGTATAGAACTATAAATAACCAACTTCCACACTTTACTACCATTCTCTCAAATACAATGTCACAAGGTTTGCCCTTAACAATAACTTTCTACTGCCAAAAGTTCGCACCAATTATGGCAAACAAACCATTCATTTTTCCGGAATTTCTTTTTGGAATAGTTTACCTTCTGACATTAAAGTATGCCGTTCGCTGAAGGTAATTAAATCGAAGTTAAAAAATCATATCATGTCAACTAACTAGCCTGTTTTGCTGTTTCTTAATTGATTCCTGTTCATTGTGAGTTGCGTTCTGTAATCACTTGTCATTGAAGTTAGCGCGTTATTCTTGCTTTTAAATTGTTTCTGTGAGATTACAAGGGTATATTCTTACTTTGTTTGTTTCAATTGCATTTTACTGTAGCTCTGTCTCTCTGCTATGTACATCACAATCATTCTCAATTCTACATTGTACAAGAGGTCTCCTTGCAGTCTCTGACTATGGGACCTGTTTCTGTATACATGCACATGTATTCTTCTTCATTTAGCACAATAGAACCTTCTGTTCTGTTCTGTTCTGTTCTGTTCTGTTCTGTTCTGTTCTGATTTTGTCCGTTTCGTGTCGCTGTTCGGGTATGTCATTGTTAGCACTTGCATGGTCCCGTAAAATGCATTCAGCCTATTTCGTCATCTCGCTGAAGCGCAGCTACTTGGTGCAGCAGCTCTGAAACACTGCCTGCGGTGCGGAGGAGTTGTTCGCTCATCTCTTTCATCTTATTTAGACGAAATTATTTGTTGTTGTTTTTCCTTCCTTTTATTCTTGTTATCTCTGTGCGTGCCTTGCCAGACTTAAATTGAACCAATACGAACTAGCCCGATTCCCCGTGCCACTTCACAAAATACGTCGTTTTTTTTTTGCCAACGAAGTCATCTGTCGCAAGCTCCATTTTGCCAGCCGTTCCTTCAAATTGTGTAGAATTGAGTGTTCAGTAAGGAATCGCGTTGGCCCGTTGTCTTCATCTTTCCACGCCTGATATTTTGCACTGTTGGCATCATTTAACATATATTAAGGCGAAAACCTTTACTACGCTATGCATCCCAAGGTCATTCATCACTTTGAAATGACCTCGAGTTGCCGAGTGCGTGGCAGGCGTGAAATCACGCCACATGATGCACTCTGCAGCTGTGCGCCTCCGAGCATTGCCACTTCAGCGTCACGTGTGCACACAGCCTTTGCAAAATCAAGCTAAGCATGCCATTCACTCGTGATAACTATAGTTTCGCAAGAGTTAAAGCTTGGCCAATTTTGTCTCATATATAGTTTCTGTTTCTTTGCCCACATAAAAAAAATAGCGACAACGTGTGTTTGCAGAGTGATCAGTTCACGCACACAAATAAACCTTCCCCCTCCTTCCCACTTTAAACACAGGGAATCCAATGGGCGAAGTGTTCAACAACAGACAATAACAACTTTATATCTTTAGTGTCGTTCATTGTTCATTGTAGATCACTCACCTTGATTGATATGTGGGGTTTACCGTTCCAAAACCACCATATGGTTATGAGAGACGCCGTTGTTGGGGCTCAGGAAATTTCGATCACCTGGAATTCTTTAACGTGCACCCAAATTTGAGCACATGGGCCTACAACATTTCCGCTTGCATCAGAAATGCAGCCGCCGCAGCCGGGATTCGATCCCACGATCTGCGGGTCCGCAGCCGAGTGCCTTAGCCACTAGACCACTGCGGCGGGGCAGATCACTTAGCATTTCCGCTCATCGCAACATCGCTTTTTAGAGATTATCATGTGAACCCAACCTATTCACGAAACTATAGGAAGCGATGTCAGCAGTATGTAATAGAAGTATAGTAGTGATGGAACCATTGTGGATGAATGTGGACGCAAAAACTAGATGCCACCTGTCCTAAGATTTCCGAACCTACTATCTTCGTGTTACTCACGCGACGTTCTGCCAGCTGAACTACGGCGGTGGTCGTTGAACCCCGCAAAGTTATCTTTAGCAAAATCAACGGCAATCTTTTGTCTTCTAATTAGCCTCTGTGACAGGGCGACGTCCAATGAAACAGCTGTGAGTGTATTCTGCATTTCTTTGTGACAGGAGGACTATCAACTAGTGACCCCTGCTCCGTGTTGTCTGCAGATGAACGTTCTCCTCAAGCGCTGCTATTTGTCGCTCATCAGAAATCCGGTAAGTGACGCATGATAGATAGTAGGCTGCATGCTCGCGTGAAGGATGAGAGACTTGCCGTGGCTTCTGTAAAAAAGTATAGCATGTTGTTAACTTTGAATGGGAGCTGTTTTGCAGCGTTTCAATCACTGATTCTTTCACTTTTTCTCATTAAGAGACCAGCTGCTACACTGAAGGCTTGCTCGGTACATGAGCTGGAGCGAAAGACGGTATCATAACGTAGGAAGACTTTCCACACCAGCTCGCAGTTGCGCAATATTTATATGCTAGTGTCGCTTCCCTTCACGGGGTGTCGCGTTTCGCTGTTGCTTGCGATCGGGCAAGGCATTGCATCAGACGCCAAGAAAAATATGAAAAAAAAAAGAAGTAGGCTCAGTAGGGACCCCCTGACTCACAGGACTGGTGGTCCCTGAAGCAGTCGCGTATTTTTTGGGATGAGAGATACCCTAGAAGACAGGTTACAACTTCATCTTTAAAAAAGTAATTTATTATCGGTGATGATTGCAAGAAATTATTTTTGAATTGCCCCGGATGTTGTAGTTTCCAAGCAGTAATCAATTTTATCAAAATATAGAAGAAAAATTACTTTTTAGCAAGTAATGAATTACTTGTAACATAGAACTCCGAAGGACATACAGATGAAGGCGTAACTCGATGAAAAGTTCAAAACGTCGTTCATCTAATTATTAAAACAAAAGTAATGGAACATCATTAAACCATTAACATATTCGTTCCAGATGGTGTTCCACTTAAGGTTGACCACAAACCTGCTGGTCGGTGTGTGTATGGGCCTTCTCTACTACGACATCGGGGGCCGTGCAGACAGCTTCTTCAACAACGCCACCCTGGTCTTCTTCTGCGCAATCTTCCTCACCTTTACCGGCATGATGCCAGTAGTCCTGAACTGTGAGTAAAGTATTTGTGAATAAAATATAGAATTGTTGAGGCGTACTTGTTGCATTCAACGTTCGCGTAATTTCGAACCCTTCACGAAGTCATTCTTCTTTCCTATATATTTGTTGTATTAAAGACCCTCTATTCCCAGAGTAATAATGAGAACTGAGTATTAATGAGGATATTGTGTCTAACAAAAGAAGCAACGAGCCCCGACATTTACACTTATTTGCTTTATTGCTAGAGCATTATTATATATGATAGGTTCCATTTCGTGACTTGAAATGCTCCTTCAAGCACTGGAAAAAAGACACGCCTGCAAGAAGGTGCTAACCTACTAGAGTTACTATTTGGAGGGTGCAGTTAGGCAAGTCAAATGATCAGTAAGTGACGATGAAATCGTCCACGCCTATTACATAATGTCTTCCTTTTTTATTGTAAAAATATGCTTTCTGTAGAAGGAAAGAAATATGAAGAAGCTTTTATTTCAATTTGGCTGAATATGTGATGATGTTGGTGGCTTTTCGGAGCGAATTTCATTTCTCTTCACTGTTGAAACATCGATCTTTTGTAACTGCTGCCTCGTTCTACAGTGAAGCTTTATGCCACAGAGCCTCGCTATGCCAGCATACTGATTTCGTATTGTATACTAAATTGTTCCTCGCGTAACTGATCAGTAAACTTAGCAGAAATAGTTGGATTGGGTCGCAGGTGTCTTTGGAATGCAACATTGCATTTTTCATAAACATCCTATTGATCAATTAAAAAGAAACTCTTTTAAAAATCATCACCTCCTGTCTAGTTGGTCAAACTGCACGATGTTTCTGGCATCTGATTGTGATGGCTGTAGCATTTTCTTTTATTTTCTAAACTTGCACTGACTACAATAGTGGGCGGTTTAATGTAGTTAGAGCCTGCAATCCCTGTGACGTTATTTGACATACTTATTTTTACAGTAATACACACTTATTATATGTATATCTGTCATTGCCTACTGAAAAAAAATTGACCCTCTCATGGTCGGTCATGTGACACTGCCGGGCAAACGATTTCAATATGTTATTTTTTTCCCGCAAATTTAAATGTACATGCAGATCCTCTGGAAGCCGCCGTGTTCACGCGGGAACGCAACAACTCGTGGTACACGCTAAAAGCCTACTACCTCTCCAAGACCATCGTTGAATTACCTTTCCAGGTACTCTCCTCTGTTGTTGTTTTTTTTGCCTATTTACTTACTTTCGCTATGTTAGAGCACTCATGGTTTAATCTAAATAAAGGGGTTAAATTTATTCATCCCCGTTTGATGCTATTCAAGAGTCAGTCATAAAAGTCACATTAGTGACATGTGGGCTTCGGGCAATACGCTTCAGATAATGGGCTTTCCAAGAAGGTACGAGCCTTCTAAGACAAACTACTGGTTGTTCGTGATGTTTCAAGCGGTTTTCATTGCATGGCACCGGAGTGAATTTACCCAAATGCTTCATGTTATTGCTCCCCAGAGTGGTGCATAAGCTAGGTTTAACATAAGCAAGGTTAAACAGGTTAGCATGAGCTAAAATAAGCACGACACACAGGAAGAAACAGACGCGCACAGGCGCCTGGGCTCGTCTGTTCCATCCTGTGGGTCTGATTTAGTTGCGCTACTCAGGACGGCTTCTATGTCTTAAGTTAGGCGTGTCGGACAGAACACTAAGGAAGTCAATTGATTGATTGATTGATTGATTGATTGATTGATTGATATGTAGGGTTTAACGTCCCAAAACCACCATATGATTATTAGAGACCCCGTAGTGGAGGGCTCCGGAAATTTTGATCACCTGGGGGTTCTTTAACGTGCACCCAAATCTGAGCAGACGGGCCTACAACATTTCCGCCTCCATAGAAAATGCAGCCACCACAGCCGGGATTCGAACCCGCGACGTGCGGGTCCGCAGCCGAGTACCTTAGCCACTAGACCACCGTGGCGGGGCACTAGGGAAGTCAACTACAAAGAATGAATGCTATCTAATATTGTTTTCTTGTAACCATTTGTGTATACCTTACCATATCCTACGAAGCATTCCGCTGTAGGAGCTCAACCTTGTGTCTTTATTATCAATAGCATGTTACTGCCATGATTGCAGACTGCACATTTAGAAGCTATCATTGTTACGTGTGTGGTGTTGAAACGCTTCCACTTGTGTGGTTCCGTGCAGGTCGCCTACCCAACAGTATTCGTGGCCATCGTATACTGGATGACGTCACAGCCTGCGGAGATGAGCCGCTTCGTCATGTTTTCTTTCCTGTCCATCCTTCTCACCTTAGTCGCCCATTCCCTGGGCATGTTCATCGGTGCCTTCGCAAGCATGCAGGTAAGGAAGAACAAACCGGCATTTAGGCAGGTGGTGCATAGCGAAGAGAACTCGGAATGATCGGAATGAAATATTGGGGTACCCTTAAGCTTCGCCTTCAAGAGTTGAACGCGATTGCTAAATCCGGCCCCTATTGCACCCTTCAACCGTTAAGTGCATACTTATTCATATGTTTTGTTACATACACACGCACGCACACAAACACGCACACAATAGATTGGACCAGCGCACACTATTATTGCCGAATGGGCTCGTCTTTGTCGTGACACCTGTCGAAACAAAATGCGTTAAAGAGCCCTGAAACACTTTTTCAGGTACTCATGGAATGAATTCACTAGAAGAGCTTATTGCCTCACGAATTCAATGCCGCAAAATTTTTAAGAATCCGTCCAGTGCGAGTGGAGTTACAAAGGTTTGTCGCATGCTGAAAATGAACTACCTCTCTATCGTACCGACGAAAGCGCTGGAAGATAAGCAAGGAGGGGTGGCAGTGCAAAGAAACTACCGCGCCTCGTGATCTTGAGCACATTTTTTTTTTTTCGAACGCACGGCTTTTTGGTGTAATCGCGTGCGCACGCGTAGACAAGTAGCGGCCTCCCGAGGCTATCTCGGTAACTTGATTTTTCAGCCATAGACGCACAGACGATTTTTCGCTCACTACCGACGATGCCGACGCCGGCGGTGGGTTTTCTGCGACACGAGCTCTCTAACGCTATCGCGTTCAAAGATGATGCGCTCGCATACTTCTTTTGATCACATGTCTAATAACTACCGGAGGAAAACTCTTAACTCGTTGTAGTTGAGCCAAAGGAAAACAAAGATTTCGTAGAACTTCTATATAGAAAAAGAAATCGACAATCTGGTTCTGCAATCTTGTCTCTTAGAAATATTTTCTTCTAGGGTGCACAACCCGAACACCTCTTTATGAGTAGTCGATGGAGAACGAGGAACTTGGTGATAATTATTTGCGCTGCTCTTGCAACACCACTTTCAACTCTTCACTGATGGTCCTTTCTTGTTGAAAAGTTCCGTGCCACTAATTAGCCATTTCAAGGAACATCTTGCAGTCGGGTTTATTGTTTTGTTAAAAATACTGTCGATATCAATTATCCTCATCATCCGCGGTTTTAGCAGCGAGCGAATAAGTCGCTTGGACAGCGCTTGTCTGTGTCCCATACGTGGTGCTTCGTTCGTTTTTCACGCTCTCAATATCTTTGTAATGAAAGTTAGTACTTTGAAGTTCCTGATCCTCTCGACGAACTACCCCTGATACAATATGTAGTAGTCTGTAAATAAGCTGGTTGTGTAATATAGTTAACGATATCATAAATGAAAATGAAAGTCAAGAGTGGCTCCAGTGCACTACCGGGCAGTTCCCCAGAAGGAACCAGCAAGTAGAGCCCTGATTTATGGCCCCTACTAGACATCCATTAGATGCTGATTTCCAAGCACACTGGCCAATCTCATCAATATGCTCTCCACATTTTTTTAAAGCAGGGCATTGTGGAAACATTGATGAAACAGTAAAATCAATGGGGAGAGCTGCCGCAATTTTGGATTTAGAGGCATCATAGATCTTATGGTGGAAACTTGGTATACCATATAATGCACGTCCCGTCTTTATTTTTTTTTTCTATCATCCTAACCCTGGCGTCGTCTTCACTTCTTATTACATGTGCTTCTTTTTTAATAAAGCCCGATGGCAGTTTCAATGGAGACGAAAATTTCTGATGTCCACGTGCTAAGATTTAGATGCATATTAAAGAAACCCCGTTGGTCGCTTTTCCCGGAGCCCTCCACTAATCGTCTTTCATAATCAAATAGCGGTTTCGCAATGTTTAACCCCAGGTATTATTATTATTATTATTATTATTATTATTATTAATATTATTATTGATTTGATTGATTTGTGGGGTTTAACGTCCCAAAACCACCATATGATTATGAGAGACGCCGTAGTGGAGGGCTCCGGAAATTTTGACCACCTGGGGTTCTTTAACGTGCACCCAAATCTGAGCACACGGGCCTCTACATTTCCGCCTCCATCGGAAATGCTTATTATTATTATTATTATTATTATTATTATTATTATTATATATTATTATTATTATTATTATTATTATTATTATTATTATTATTATTATTATTATTATTATTATTATTATTATTATTATTATTATTATTATTATTATTATTATTATTATTATTGTTGTTGTTGTTGTGAAAACTTTAACAGATCAATAACTTTTGAACACGGCGTGTCAAAGAAGTCGGTGTATCAATGAGCAATCTCGTCTTCTTTGTACCAGCAACTGCCTCGAAAAAGACAGCACCACCTGTCGAAACGTCTGGTACTGACACGTCATGTTCACGAATTTTCGCCTTTTTTTTTTCTTTATCGCGATAAGGCTTGTCCTTAAGGTATGATAATTTGTCTATATGTGCACTAGGTGCGTGCCGTGAGTCAAGTCGTGTACGAATTGAACCAATGTCTCGTGGAATTTGCAATCACATATCCTGCGGTCATAGCTGCTCATGGAACCTGTTATGCATCCCGCAGTGTTAGCTGGCCGTGCTACTGTAGCGACGTTCCGACTGTAGGCTCTAACATATCAACTTAAGTGCCACGTATCTGTTTTCATCTCTGGGAGTGACACCTCTCTAATCGCGCAAGCGCAGAGAAGCCGACCCACTCACCAAAGTAATAATCCTGTTCCGTTTTTTTCAGGTGGCGATATTTCTGGCACCAGCCGTGGCCATTCCTATGCTCCTATTCAGCGGTTTCGTGGTGACGCTGAAGGCGATGCCACACTACCTCCACTGGATATCCTACGTGTCATTCGTTCGCTACGCGTACGAAGGGTGCGTCCTCAGCGTGTACGGATACGACAGGCCTGAACTTGAGTGCGGCGAAGAGAAGGACGGCTCAGTTCCTTGCCTCTTCACGGAACCATCCGAGTTCGTGAACTTCTTGGGTCTGAACGAAGTTAGTGTGGAAGTGTGTGCCGGTGCGCTTATCGGGTTTGTGGTGATCTTCAACGTGGCAACATACGTCGCACTCAGGATGAGGGTGAAGAGGACGTTCTTAAATCGATAAAAACTTTCAAAATTTTACCAGAAGAAATAAGGTGCAAATGAGACAAACATGAGGTGTCACGTAGACAATCGCCTAACGAGAGAAAGTTTAACTTGAACAACTTTTGAAATGCATCGGGTGTGAGCGACGTCAAACACTACTTCACTGGTCGACTTCGTCGTGCAGCCAATGTAGGTCCCTATTGTAGACCGGCAAACACAACAGCAGCCCTTCGTCGAAGAACCTTGCGTTGACCAATGTGGCGGTGACGGTGAAAAGCTTGGACATCAGCTTTCAGCTCTGGAGATACGAGGTTCAATTCCTGGTGCCGTGCAGCTACCCAACCGTTTCCAATGGGTACGAGCGGGCTTCAGGGCAGTGCTGTAGTGCCCCGGTGACACGAAGCTCATGTTTCTTGGATGTGTCTCAACTTACTGCACGCGACTAGTGGCCCTTGCACGAACCCAATATGAGTATGGGAGATTTGCTTGTGTGTGTGCCTGCGTGACGCGGTTTCGGTACGCCGTACGCCATCGCCAGTGGTGTCATGAACAACGCGTCAGACAATGTGAGACTTTGATGATCGCTGGTACGATCATCCGTTTAGCTTACTGCACTCGGGGGAGTACGTATGGCCTGCTTTTTCTATTTTTTTAACATTGTGCTTGGTTTTGATGCATGAAAATACTAAGAATCAAGCACACGTGCCTCCCCGCAGCTCCTGATAAACAAAACGCTCGAACGCGAGCACGAAACAAAGGACTGTGCAAACATGGATCACATTACGTGTGGGCTTCGTAAAGCAAGAACAAACAAGCCGTCGAACAAAATTATTTTTGCGTTAGTCGTGACAAAGCTATCGCGCGTCAGATAAGAGTAGCATGCACCGCTGTATCCGTGCTGTCCAATCATTCTGCCTTATAGTTACATACTTTCTAGAGTCTTATCTTCGGTCGTAGCTTTCATTGTCAAGAGCATGTCACAGGTGACCTTCGCCCGAGTCGCATTGCGTGTTTCTCACCCTCGTAAGCGTCACGTATGCCATTGCACAAGTGACATTGTGCCTTTTTTGTAATCACCAGGTATACATTTAATTACTCGCACTAATGATTACATAAAACTTGACAACGACGAAGCGTTCTTTTGGGGTCCGCCTCATGCTCATTTGTGTGCGCCAGTGTGCTTGTTGGACATTGACCGCTAACTCACCTAGCCATTCACATTATAACACCGTATTGTTTACGATACGTATGCATTGCTTTGACCTTGCAGAACAGTACACCTCAGGAATGCAACCCCCTTCCCTAGAGCAGTGAAGTGGCGTTCCTCTGCTGTTTATTGAGCAGCGGCATTCAAGTGGGTAGTTTATGAACCTACCACGCGAAAGGTACTCGATTCGACTTCCAATTCTGCTATGCACCTACCCTTATTTTTTAATCAGGAGGGTAGTGCTCCGACCAGGAGCTTGCTGGCGTGGGCGCTCATACTAAAAAGGTGGCCTCTCCCTTGTTCTCTCGTCTTTCATTCATCATTAGCCAACACTTCCCCATCCTCCCCATCTTAACACCTCCCCGTCATAAATGGGGCGGGCTTCTACAAAGGCTGCAAAAAATAAGCATCCTTCCAGACTTCGAATTGCTATTATAAAAAAGTCGACGCAATGAACAGCTGATACACAGTCGGTTAGAAAGAGATATGACTCGGAACACAGAAGGTTGCCTGCTGCTGCGCATCTTACTGTTTCTTGCTACCATAGGAACGTTAAGGCAAAAATAAGGTCTTATCCAGATGAATATCTCAAATTATCAATTACTCAGATAACCATCAGTCTTAGCAAGATCAGCATTTTAAAAAATTACTTCAGATTCCAAGCATTCAGATTCCAAGAGTAGCTGTCCATGCTACTTTCAGTTTCTGCTTTGAGCAAACCGTTACAAGGGGGGTGACGCCTGTGTATAAGTTGAATAATTGCGCGTAGATAGTGCACATACCAAGCACGTCGACTGCACTGGCGCCTAAAGGGCACCGTTTGGCGCAGCGTACTGCCAGCGCTAACGCTGCAGACCAGTTGTCAGTTTTATCAAAACAAAGTACACTCTACGTGGCGATGACGCGCGTATACAACTATTGATCAATGAGTTATTCTTCCGAGATGGAACACTTTTTGTCTATAGTCTATAGTTTGCTGACTCATTGTAGAACACTTGAAATGTTTGTTACATTCTTTAAAATGCAAATAGTCAAAGCTGCCACTGCAATTGAAGCTTACGCAACATGGTACCTTAATATTTCCTAAGCAGTTTAAAGCAATGGCGCCTCTGCAGTGTGCAGTAGTATAAAGTACTCGACTGCTACGCACACCGTCGTTTAACACCTGCTCTAGCCATAATTCTATTTTTTTTTTCGCACCGTGATTTTCGTCTCGTCGACCAGTCTGGATAAGGTATGCTGCGCCCACAATCCCTAACGCTTTTGTGTTAAAGTTTCCAAAATATATCTTGGTGTCGCCTGTGGTGCACATAACCGTATTCTACGGTCCGTGCATATGGGTTTGTGTCGCATGCATGGTAGAAAAAATAAGAAAGAAGGAAGCATTGCGTCACACGAGTGAAGCCAAGCGTGTCGACCCAACACATGATGACTTCAGAGCGTGTGGTAAGTTTTTACACGATAGCGTTAAAGAGCTTGTGTCGCCGAAAACCAGCTGCGGGCATCAGCCCCGTTAGTTGCTAGCGAAAAGTCGTCTGTGCATCTGTGACCAAAAAATCAAGTTACTGAGATGGCCGTGGGAGACCGCTACATGTGCACGCGTGCAAGCACGATCACATTGAAAAAGCCGCGCATTCGAAGAAAAAAAAAGTGCTCAAGGTCACAAGGCGCGGTAGTTTTTTTTTTTTTTTTTTGCACTGCCACCCCTTCCTGTTTAGCTTCCAGCGCTTTCGTCGAGACGAGAGAAGAGATATTGCAATTGCAGCATGTGACAAACATTTGTAACTCTACTCGCGCTAGATGGATTCTTAAAATTTTTGTGGCGTTGAATTCAATAGGAAATAAGCTCTTCTGGTGAATTCATTCCATGGTTATTTAAAAAAGTCTTTCAGGGCCCCTTTAACGCATTTTGTTCGACAGGTGTCATGATGAAAACCAGCCGACTCGGCAATAATAGCGCGCACTGGTCCAATCTACTGTGTGCGTGTTTGTGTGCGTGCGTGTGTATGTAGCAAAACATATGAATAACTATGCACTTAGCCGTTGAAAGGGTGCACTAGGGGCCGGATTTCGCTATCGCGTTCAACTCTTAAAGGTGAAGCTTGAGGGTCCCCCAATTTTAAATACTATGGGTGATGTTTCGTTTTTGAACCTCCTGCATGAGCAGGTTGGTAAGCGCTGAACAAGCGCGTTTCAATTAAAAGCTACTGGGCGCCATCCTGCGAAGTCTCGGCAAGCCTCGTCGCTTGCGTGATCTTACGGCAAAAGGACACCTGTTGGGTTGACACGGCTGGCTTCAAAACGGGTTGCCTTGCCAAGGCTGGCAGCGGGACATAATGCTTACTGCTTTCTTTGTCTTCCTTTACGGTCACATATGACTGCGGGAGAGTGTTTCGTGTCATTAGTAACAAGCGTGTAATGCCACCCACGTAGTGAACTGTGACTCTGGTTCGTCGTTCTATCACACGTTCCTGAGCTAACCTTGGTATAGACGAAATAAAGCAGGCGACCGCGAAAACATTCGGACATAACACCTAGAAAGGTGGATAGAAACGCGCAAATTTTCTTTTCGTTCGCAAGCAAAGACTTCGCATTGAATAAAAATGATTGGCGTTCTCAGTGACAAAACCACTACACGCTTACATTTGCCCTCCCGGGTTTCCTAGAGAGAACAGTACTCACAGATGGAAACGCGGCATCATTTTCGTTTTGTGCGATAACTGTCATAAGCTGTTGCGTCGGTGATAATGACGCCATGCCATTGGCAGTCTGGCCGTTAAAGAAAATGCTGTATCGCTGTATCTGATGTAAGCGTGCGAGTCGAAATTTTGCCGTTATGATGCATGCTGTCGACGCTAAAAACGAAAGCGTTAGCATTCCTTAGGCCTAAATTTTGGCGCTTCGATTTGTGAGTACTACATTGAACTGCTATATAGTGCAAACTTCAGGGACTACAGAGAAGAAAATGTGGCCCACACAAGCGCTAACTTGCGAGGGCATTTTTATTAAAGAAACGCATAAATATATACGTAATCATGCACCTGTGCAGTTTCACATCCTCTATCAAAGCCAACACAGCCCTAAGTGGTAAAATTCAGCGCACAACATGCGCACTAACAGTTACTTAGAAAAATGGTCTAAAAGAGATCGCCTAAGATGATAGCCACTGAGTCGGCGTTCCTTTCATAGCTCTAAGAAAGAATTGCTTTTTAGGTGTAGTGCCTGATAGTGCCGCGTAATAACTTTTAATATTGCGATAGCAATTATATGGACACTCTCGGCTGGATTTCACCGCCGGCGTTGATGTCAGGCACTGTATATGTATACGTACCTATATATATATGAACACGCAAGAAAGAAATAAATCCAGAAAAAGAGACTCCGGCGTGCGAAAGCGAACATTGGACCTCTGCGTCGCGAATGTTTGGCATTAACCACTGAGCCACCGTGGCGTACCTCCTTAGAAGTTCAAACGGCAAGCAATATATATCTACCTCTTATCACTGTTGGCAGGCATCTCGGCAGGGAAACTATCTTGTTTTTCAGAATTATCAGCAAGAAGGCGCAGTGAGCGCACGCCGGCTCTCATTTGTCACGCGTATTTAGGCCCGCGGAGAGAATAAGGGGGTGTACGCTCGATCGCGCGCCCCTATCTTGCAGTGGGGAAGATCTTACGTCTCGTACATATTCTGTTGTAGTTCCGGGCGCACAAAGGTCACTGCAATCGTTGCACAACCTCTGTTTGCGATAAGGGCGTGCTTTTCAGACAGGGCTAAGTAACAACTGAGACGCTTACCCCCGTACTCTAGAACGCCCCTTCACTCAACGCTCAACCTTCACTTGATGATGATGATGATGATGATGATGATTAAAGGCCTCCCCTTTGAATCAGGGTGACAGCATGCGCCATCTAGCCTACCTTAATAGTTCAAGTTAAAATTTTGTCCCTCAACTCGGATGTCTTTTTAATTTTGCCCAGCCGCTACTCTTGGCTGGGATGTTATTTTATCGACTTCTCTGCTTTTCCTCCACCAATACTCCAGCTGCTGCT